AAAAAAAAAAAAAAAGGAAAAATGGTCGTCCTATCGTGACTATTTTTGAAATTTGAAAATGTCACTTGACTTGTATGTTTCTAAACAATTCTGCAGAAGGTAGATGTTGTTCTTGAAGGAACTGCGTCTGCAGAAGGAAACAGAGTGTCGCGAGATACAACGTAGTTCAAAATACGTAGCGATAAGTGTTATCGAATGTAGTCGAGATTCAGGCTGTTTTACATCAAATGTATCACGGGTCGCGTAACCAGAGAATTTAATAAACGTTTCAATACTTTTCAAGAGCTAATAAATAACGAGTAAATAACACAATTCAAATACGAATGAATCCATATTTATTTTCGTTTTCAACCATCTCCGGCGATTAGGGGACAATTTCAACAATATTTCTTGTTCCCCTGATGCGTCGATACCTTTTTATCGTCTTTTTGTTTGATTTAGTTTGATTTAGTTAGTAGATAAATTCAATAATTTTCAAAGAATGAAATCTTTAACATTGCATTTACGGTACAAATATTTTATGTATGTGCGTGCGTGCGTATATGTTTGTTATCTGGATTATCGTCAAAGATTTATCGAAAATTTCTTCTATTTTTAGACATGATACGAGCGAGTGGTTGAAATCTTGTATCGATGTCTTCTCTTTCTATTAGTTTCCAGTAATCATTGACCAAACAAAATTATAAGATAACAAAATTTTTTTTATTAACTTTCACGACTATTTCAAGACTATTTCTGGATTATGTTTAAGTTACCGAATAAGAATAATTATTTATTAAGTTTTCTCCTTCGAAAAATTTCCGAATTTACTCGCTGTTCTATCCCACTCACGTCACATACGAAAAAGTCCAGTCCACTGTGAAGATAACAAATCCCCCGTGGGAATTTACCAGCAGAACTCGACGCAATATCAATTTGAACATGTCACGTCTCTTTGAACATCTCTCTCAGTGGTTTGTCCGAACGATTAGAGATTATGCAACTGAGTAAATCTTATGTATTTACATGTTCCGTAAAAATGCCATGTTTAACGTTTTCATCCTCGTCTCTAAAAATTTCTGATGAAGAAAGAAGTCGAAGAACACGCGCAGATTAAATTCAAATGTACGATGTCGTTCGAGACATCTCGTCGTCCAACTCTGGAAAAAGTTTCTTCTAGTCAGCTGTCCAGATTGTTCCACCAATCCAATTTCCCTCGCGC